GAAGGGGTCGGAAAGGGAGGGCTGAAGGAGCAAAGGGAGAGAAGTGAGAGGGGAAGGAGCCCAGGAGGGCTGTCCTCCACGGCCCAGGCCTCAGCCGTATCCTGACCAGGGGGTAGCAGCTCTCAACCTCTACACCCAGGGGACCTGGCCCACCCGGACCTGTGGTGTTCCACCCGGTGACAACAAGGTCATTCTGCAGCAGCCCCTCCCCTGCCTTCTATAATCATGGAATAATAGTAATCACGAACTCAGGTAGCACTTACTGTTTGTCAGGCATGGCTCCAGGGACAATCCTCGTGAACTCATTTACCGCTCACAACAGCCCCAAGAGGTAACTACTATTACTAATCATCTTCAGGTGAGAACACTGAGGCACAGAGAAGTTAAGTAACTTGCCCAGAGTCACACAGCTACTAAGTAGTGGAGCTCTGATCCTCTCAGAGTAGGGCCAGGGTTATAGCCTGTCCTCTCTCTCCCTTCCCCGTCTTCTTTATTATTCAAATATTCCAAAATGTTTCTCCCCATCTTCTCTGCACCCCTTGGCCTGTCTCTGGGTTACAGAGGAAAGCAACTTCCCTCTACTTGCCATCAAGGGGCCAGAGTCTGTGCTCTGAAGCAGGCCGCAGCCCCCTCAGGACCTGACCCCGTCTGTCTCTCTAGCTTGGTCTCGCCTACCCCCACCCCATTTCTTATGTTCTAGAAATATTAAAGTTTTAACAAGTTAGAGAGGGTAGGTGGTTGTATCTCTAAGGAAAAAAGGTAACGCCTCCATGGTAAGTTCAGGATGTGCCAGGACCGGTACCAGAAAGGGTCTTGCCCTCGGAGTTTGGGTTAACGTGGTGCGGTGGCTAAGAGGCCAGGGTGGCAGGAGCGCCCAAGTGCTGCTGTTACACCTTCACGAACTTTACGTTTTCTTCCATTTCAACTGTACGAGTCAGAATTACAGAACGGGGCCATCCCTAAGCAGGCCTGCTCTCCACTCAGTACTGCGTCCTGTGTTCTCACTGGACAGAGCATCAACGCCCCCTTGTTAAAGGCGACAGCCTCAAGCCCCAGGATAGTCAAAATCAGGCTATTTGTTTTCTTGTTCAGGCCGCATGTGGTCCTTTGGAGCCCACCGTACCCCTCTTACTCAGAGTCACCAGGGGGAGTTTCTGGCTACTTCTCCCTGTTCCCTCAATCTGGAATACCCCGGCCCTCCTGCACAGAGTACTTACTCTTATTTTAGTGATCAGAAAAACAGTTGCTATTTTTGGTTTTGCTTATGCTATGGGGAGTGTGCACTCACTGGCGAGAGAGAAAGAGAGCAAGAGAGAGAGGAGTCACCCCCCGCCCCAGGGGTGATGGTCACACTGCAATCCCTTTTCCTCCATTCTTCTCTCAGGGTTCTGGGCACACGCACATGTGCCTGGTGCATCTTCCAAGCTGCCAGGTCCAGGACTCAAACCATTCACCCAGCCATGTGGTATCCATCCACTCTAACCACCATGCCACCTGGCTGGCCTACAGCAAAATGTTGAGAACTTTTTAATGCTCAGCAATAAGGGACTTATTGAGCAACTGGGGGCAAATCCAGACACTGGAATTGACACTGCAGAGGATGCCCCTGAGCTGCACCAGGTCTCGTGCCAGGCACCCTGTCTGCACACATCACCTAACTTAACTCTCCTGGCTGCCCGTGAGGGAGGTCTCACTGTTCTTTCCTTTTATAGACACAGAAAGTGAGGCTCAGCGAGGACAGTAATGAACTGCCTGATCCAGTGTAGGAGCTGATTTTGACCCAGGACTTCACTGCGCATGCTCAGAGTCTCCAACCTATGCTCCCAGCACAGAAAACGTTCACTCCACATGGCGATGGGTGGACATCAGAGCAAGTTGTTGAATAATACAGATGTATGATCCCAATTCGATTGGCAAAAATATGCGTTCTCATGTAGAAAAACATCACCGACGCCTTGGCTCCATGTACCCCTGGGTGGTGGGGGCCTGCAGCTCGGTTTGAGTCTTCCTTCTACTTACTGCTTCTTCACCTGCACCAGATGCTTCCTGGATATGAGATCGTGCTTATCTCCAGCCTGGCTGCATGTTGCCAGCAGACCCCAGGCCCTAGTTGCCTTGTCTATGCAACCTTTCCTGCCCTCTCAGCCCTCCTAGTTAGCTCTGCCTGTGTGCCCCACGTGCCTGTGGGTCCTGCAGATCTGTGTCCTCTTGTGCATGTTTTAGGACACTCACTGTCAGTTTGATCACCTCTTCCCCTGCCATGGGTCTGTGCCCTCTACCAAAAGAGCCTTCTCCCAGGCCTGCCTGTCACCATCTCTCCAGTGCCCCACAGGTGGCTTGGCACCCCACAGGTGTTTGTGGAGAGACTCGCAGAGTGACCACCTGGCTACAGGAAGAGAGATCAGGAGGCTCCCAGGCCAACCTCAGGAGGAGGTCATGTTCTCTCCCAAGACTGCCCAAGCAGCACTCCCAGAGCAGGGAGACTCAATGAAACCTCTGGGTTGGCTGCTCAGCAGGTCAACCAGATACCCTATGTGCCCAAAGGGAGCACCGCTTACCCCTAGCAGCTGGGAGGCTCTCCACACACAGGAGAAAGGCAAGCCCAGATCTTGTCTTGTAGTCTGTGTCTTACTCTGCACCAGACTCTCACAAGTGCACGTGTTTACAGTGTACACACTCACGGACAGAAATGCACATGCAATTGTCAGCCTAAGTACAGTGACATGCATACACACAAAGACCCATGTGCACACTGACATGTACATATTCATCATTGTGTACATGATAGGCATGTGGACACACAGGAAAATGTGCATAGATGGATGTGTGTACATGCAGAGAAGAAGCTGCAAGGGCTGGGCAATCAGACCCCTGGGTTCTGGTGCTGACATTGCCGCTGATTTGCAGAGTGACCTTAAGCAAAATACTTCGCTCCAGGGTGGCAAGTTACAAACAATCAATAGTAGGTAATTCCAATGAACTTAGTAAGGAAATGTCTGCACATCAAGGCCTGGGCGAGCCATTGCATCTTAGATCTGGAAGGTCCCTTAGCCGCCTTGTCCAAACCTCTCATTTTGAAAAGTAGGACACAGGTGAAGTGACTTTTCCAAGGTCTATGGAGAATCCATGGAAGCAGATTAGAATCAGAATCAGATCTCCTGACTGGGCAGGACCCTGTCTGATTCGCTGCACTGTTCTGGGAGTGATGGACTGTTACCTATTCTGGGGTTCTTTGTATACATTAATGCCATGCTTTTCTTTTCCTTTTGAAATGAATTCAGTACTAGGGACAAAATAGCCATGTTCTGCTGGGGTCAGAGACCTCAGGACAGCATGAACCAAACACTGCTGGAATTCCAGTGGTAAATGCAAGCAGCCAGCTAGTGCCACACGAAGCGGTGGAGTGGATAGGCGTGGGCGCCTGGACAAGACGGCCCTCCCAGCCTGTGCAGGCTACAGGTGTACGGCACTCACCCTTTGGCAGAACAGTTTCTCACCTAAGAATGTTTTGGGAAATAATTGAAGACGTGAAGAAAGATGTATGTACCAAATTACTCCTTCCTATGACATTTATAATAGCTAAAATACAGCTACAATTTAAATATCCAGACTTGGAGATAAGTCTATCTATTGGTGATAAATAATCCCCAAAGCCACAATATTGTGAATTTTTATAGTGATGTTTACCAAAGAATACTTAATTGCAGGTGAAAACAATCATGGTCTTCAGTTGAAAAAATGGCTCCTTTTTTTTTTTTAACTTAATAAAGTTTAGCCTTAACAAAGGCTTTTAGGAGGTACCATAGCATGGAGATGAAAGGCATGGATTCTAGAATTTAATGAAACTGATGTGAAAAGAAAAAAAGTCGCCAGTATTTTAACTCTGGTTATTTCCGGAGAGTAGTGAGTTCAGAGTTTCTTTTTATTTTCTTCCTTCCATTTATGTGCTATTCTTTTTTGTCAATGGAAATAACCAACTCTGCAAAAATAATAATTAATGTGGTTTATTTCTAAACATGAATATATGTCACCAAGCCCAGAGAAGAGGTGAGCATGCCTTTCTTGGGGTGATCAGGTACAGGGGCTCTTTTCCTTTGGTTTTGAGAGAGAAAGACAAGGTTTAGAATTTAGTGGAAAGAGTTTTCATTGGTCTGACCCAAAAGGGAGGGACATCTGGACGCAGGGGCTTGTAGGCCATAGATGGGTTTTACAATTCTTAGGTTGGTGATAGGAAAAGGAGGCCTATGTTAGGGAAAGGGGTCAGCAAAGAGTGTACTGTAACAGAGATAAGGGGCTTGTATACATCACAAGATGCTGTCCCAAGGTCAGGATGTAGAAAGAGTCCTGTTATCATGAGTTAAATGGTCTGTTAATGCTTGCGGGTGTGACTCACCTATCACGAAGATACTACGCCAGGGACAGGATGTAGGAAGAGTCCAACTGGGCCAAAAAGGTCTGTTCATGTTTGTGGTCATGACTCACCCCAGGCCCTATGGAAGGGATTTTAGATAAGAAAAAGCAGTCAGACTTTTGTCCTCATTTTGCACAAAAAATATACATCATTCATAGAAAATGGAAATTTCCCACTCAATTCTTCACACACTTTAAGTAGACTCCAGGCCCAAAACATCTCATCTATGCAACTTTTCCTGCTCTCTCTGTCCACCGGGTAACTCTGCCACACCTGCCCCAGCCACCTGTGGGACCTCTACCACTAAACATCTCTGTGACCTCAGGCAAGCTCTTACCCCCTCTGAGCCATGGTTTCTCCATCTAGAAAACAGGTGCTATCTTAGTACCTATAGTACATTCATTAGAAGGATGAAAGGATATGTTGGATTTAACTTGCTTAGCACAAAGCCCAGTACATTGTAAATATCTGACAAATTGAAACATACATACATGTGTGTGAGTGTATGTATGGATACACATGAACAAACACACATGCAAGCTGGTAAGAGATCCACAAAGTAATAGAAATGCTTCTCTAAAGGTTTTCCTTTTCTTATTTCTTTGGAAAAGTCTATTTGAAAAAACAAATCTTTCCCCCAATACCACTGTGTGGGATGTAGCAGGACCCTGGTGGCACGAGAGAACCAGGCCCGGAAACTAGCCCCCTGGAGCCAGCCTAGGGCTCCTTCCCCAGCATCACTATGGGAGGATGCATACCGAGGGGTGTGGGAGTCCAGGAGGATACCTGGGGGACAGAGAGCCCAGAATGGTGTGTAGAAGGGGCAGACAAATGAACAGATCAATGAATCCGATGGGAAGAACAGAGGGAGAAAGAGAATCAGCTATGATTGTTCCATCTTATAGAAGAGGAAACTGGGGCTCTGAGTGCTGAAGTACTCGCCCGAGGTCACTGGCTGTGCCAAGACTTGAACCAGGGACTGTTGATTTCCAAGAATACACTCTCAACATCATTTTGCTGTAAATGACGGGGTCTTGCGGGTGAGGTGGCTTTGCAGGTAAGAGACGGCACAAGGGCTAAGGGTTGATCAGACTGGTGAGTAAGACTGTCCTGGACTTAGAGTCCCTCAGCCCTCAAGCTGCTGGTTTTGACGGTGGATAAGACGTGGAAACTGCTGTCCTGGTGTGACCTGGCTCCCTGTTGTCCTTTGGGCCATAAAGCCAAGTTCTCACAGCCACTACGACTCCGGCTTGGTTTGCAATTTTCCAATGGACTCATTGTCTGCCTTGTTTTGTTTGTCCCAAGTTCAGGCCACCCTGTTTTTGCCTGGTGAGTGGCCGTCTTCAAAAGTGATCTGGCCCTTTTCTGCCTTTGACAATTGCTCCATTCAAAGGCAGTGTGCATCCCCACAGGCAGGTCAGCATTGTCACCCAGGCCGACCTCCTCCACAGCCAGCAGGGAGTGCCAGCAGGTGTCCATGCACCTGCAATCCAGTGTGCGCATATGGGAGGCAGGCCAGGGGCAGGCAGGCCAGGGGCTGTGGAGCAGAGAATACGCCCTCACCAAGCAGAGGATGCACCTTCGCCGAGCAGAGGATGCACCTTCGCCGAGCAGAGGATGCGCCTTCGCCGAGCAGAGAATGCACCTTCGCTGAGCAGAGGATGCGCCTTCGCAGAGCAGAGAATATGCCTTGGACCAGTCAAGGTCAACAGCAGCTCTGCTGAAAAATGTTTTGTCATCAAATAAATATGAGAAACAACAAAAGTTATAGCTCTTTCTTAAAGTTTACCGTACAGCTATTGGATCATCGGAAAAGTCACAATGTATTTTTCTGTGTTTTCTATGCAAAAATGCATCATGACTTTTCCAACAACCCAATATATTAGCATAAGGAAGGCTCTGAGAAGTCCCACAGTCAGGAATACTCGCTGACTTTTAGTGAGAATTTAAAACACAGTGTATGTCAGATAGAGTCTGTGCTATGGAGGAGGGAAGAAGGAACTTCAGCTGGCATGAGAGCTTACAGAGTGAGGCACTGGAGGGCACCCTGGTTGAGAAGGTGATGCAGTAGTTGATTTAAGACCTACAGGAGGTGAAGAAGCCCACGGCGCAGACCCCTAAGAGAAAAGCATCGGAGGCAAGGTTATCTTTCATGTGGGAAAAAAAGACAAAAACATTCTCTGGGACCAGCAGTTAGAGTAATGGCTATGTCGCTGGACTCCCACGTAGTCGACTGTGGTTTGAGTCCTGGACCTGGTGGCTCAAACTCATGCCAGGCGCGTGTGCGTGCATGCCCAAGATCCCGAGAGGAGAATGGAGGAGAAGGGATTGCAGTGTGGCCATCCCTCCTGGGGGGTGATTTCTCGTTTTCTGTCTCTCTGTCTCTGTCTCTCTCTGTCTGTCTGGCGAGCGCACGCGCCCTAAAGCAAAATAAAGACAAAAACATTCTCAGCTAAACAAAACCTGAAAGAATTTACCAACACCAGACCAGCTCTCCAAGAAGTGCTGAAGGGAGTGCCGTACCAGGAAAACTAAAGTCGGACACACAGAAATAAGAGCACAAGAAACAACCAAGAGAATGGCCGGCCTCATGGTAGGGACGAGTCCGGAGTTGAATGTTAACCCCCAGAGTTTACATGGACGATCAGACCACAGTAACACTGCAACTTCAATAGAAGAGAGAGGTTAATTACTGGAGACTGAACTGGTGAAATAGAATTTTATGACTTTGAACTAAAACATTATTGATTTTCTCCAATGCTTTGATTTCCATTATTTAAGGATTTTTGTCTTCTCTTGAACTGTTGATAATTTCATCTACCTAATATTTGAACTGAATCCTAACCTCTAAATATTTTTTTAGTTTGAGCTATTAAAACTAAAACTGTTTTTCTGTCCTCTCCATATTTAAGGATTTTTGAACTGTTGATAGGTTCATCTACCTACTATTTGAACTTGCAAGTGCAAAGGCCCTGATGCCCGAGCTCACCTGCTAGGATCCAGGAGCAGCAGGGAGGCCAGTATGTCCGCCAAAGCCCTCTTCCCTCCTGTAGGACATGTTTCAGCATCCACCAAAGCAGCTGAGACTGGTGGAGAAGTTCAGAACATGGCTTTAGTCAAAAAGGCTGAGGTTTCATCTAGCTTCAGCTCTTTCTCCAGTTGATGCAAAATGAGGCAAACGCTACTGCCTCTCAGAACCTCAGCATCCTCCTCATAAACAGGGATGATAACGTGCACCTGCCTCGAGGAGCCGCGGCGAAGTGCAGATGAAGTCGTGCGTGTTGTGCCTTCACTTTGCCTGAAGTGGGCAGCTCCATGCATAGCAGCTCTGGTTATCGTCATTAAAGTTATTATGGCTGTAGAGGTCACCGTATACCCAGTGGACCCAGTGTCTTCCCAGGAGGACTCTAGACTGAAAATGTGTCAGCCATGGCAGCACCCCTTGCTAAATGCTCAGCCAGGAGGCAGCAAAGGTGGAGATAGTTCCCAGATCTCAGTTCCCAGACAGGTCAGAGACCCAGAGGGAGGTGATATACCTTGCAGCCACCTTGCTGTCAGCTCTCTCCTCCAAGCAATCCCTCAGTGACATGGAGAAGTGGGTTGGAGAGGATTCCAAGAGAAATCCAAGATGCATGTTGGGCTATAAATCCACGTGGGGGGTTGGGCAGTGGCTCAGTGGTCAAGCACGATGCTTTGTAAGGCTGGCCCACACGGGGAGGTTGACTTTGCATCTGCACATGTGTGTTTGTCCATGGTCCAGGGCTGGCTGAAGCTGGGAGCAGACTGCAGCAGCAGAGCCCACTGGGGTTACTTCTCCCTATCTCTCTTGCCATAGAACAAGAAAAAAGAAAGCCCCCCTAGTTCAAAGCCAGCAGG